AACGCTGACGCACTGTCTACGATTGCCACGAAAGACCGTGGAAGAGCCGGATGATTGGAGCATCAAAGCTGATCAAGTTGACCGCGTTCAAATGGAACGAGCACCAATCACAGTGTCTCAAATCCGCGAGGCCACACGTGGGGATCCAGTTCTCTCTCGTGCAATGTACTTAATTCTGCATGGTTGGCCAGCGGAACACTGCATTTCAGACGAGCTGAATTTATTACAATAAGGAAGACGAGTTTACCGTTGAAGATGGCTGCATCCATCGTGGTATCAGAGTAGTGATTCCTGCCAAATATCAGGCTGCTGTTTTATCGGAATTACTTTTGAATCACCCCGGTATGGTCCGCATGAAGTCCCTAGCCAGATTGTATGTGTGGCGGCCCAGCCTAAATCACGATGTTGAGCAAACAGTGCGAGATTGCCATGCCTCCCAAGCAAATCGCAGTAAGAGTCCTCAGAAAGTCAGCAATCCTTGGATCTGGCCCACACGACCTTGCCAGAGAATACATGTCGACTTCGCAGGTCCGTTTAATGGTCAGATGTTTCTGCTTGTAGTGGATGCGAAATCAAAGTGAATTGAAGTATTTCCAATGTCCTCAACCACGCATCAGCGACCATTTTAGCCCTATGTTTCCTGTTTGCCACTCATGGTCCACCAGAGGTCATAGTCTCAGATAATGGTCCGCAGTTCGTTGCTCAGGAAATGAAAGACTTCTTGAAGTCAAATGGAATTCGTTATTGCTTATCCTCGCCTTACCATCYAGCCTCAAATGGTGAAGTCGAGCGAGCCGTAAGAACCTTCAAAAAGTCAATGAAAACCACGAAAGATGAGTTATCGGTTCCTGAGTTATCGGACAACTCCTCATACTGCTACAGGATGCACTCCTGCTGAACTCCTGATGGGTCGTAGAATTCGCACATGGTTGGACATCTTGCATCCAGATTTGTCGGCCAGAATGTCTGAGAAAACTAAGCTTAGAAACCATACCACACGTCTTAACTTTCTACCTAGTGATCCAGTCATGGTTAGAGATTATCGGGATCGTAATCAATCCTGGATCAAACGAGTCATTGAAGATCGCTTGAGGGCTGTTACGTATCAAGTTATGGTGGAGAATTTGTTTTGGAAACGGCACGTGGATCAGCTGCGATCCTTAGCAAAGGTTCAAAGGTTCAAAGATTGCAGATACCGACCCTATGGCTGAGGTTCCTCTTGATAATGCTTATCCAAAAGTAATGCCTTTGCGTCAACCTGAACAACCGCAGATTGAATCACCAGACTCACAAGCAGATTCGACTCATGTCGTCCCGCCAAGTCCTCATGGTTCGCAACATTTGGTACCAGTCTCCGCACCAGAGGAGCCCGATTTGTCTGCTGTGCCACAATCGCAGATGCCTAAAGTGTCCAGAACAGAAGAAC